TCTTTTGTTTTTCTTTAGTTGATTATTTGCTTCGAATAATTTCTTGAAGGTTCAAAAGCACAAATGAATATGGATAAAACCAAATTTGCACGAGAACACGATAGTGAAGAAATTGATTTAGGACAATATATTGATGATGATGATGTAGATGAAGAAAAAGAAAACGATGTACATGACAATTTTGATATATCTACATCAGTATTGCATATGTCACCAGCAAAAAACAATTCAATTAATTCAAAAGAAAATTCTATGGATAAATTATCCGAATGTTATTCGTCGTCTAAATATAATATTACTTATACAAAAAAGAATAAACCAAGTATTGGTAAAGGAAATTTAGCATTACATTTTCTTGAATATATATATGTCTTTTCCATAGATTTCGATACTGTATATAATACATCATCAACATCAAATAAACGTCATGTTGAATCCGACAGTTCACTCGACGGAAGTGACTGTGATTCTGAAGAAGGTTATATATTCGTTTAACAAATAACTAATGTTTAGTATGTTTATTATAGCATCAAGAGTTGTGAAGAAAAAACGTGCCGACATGAATGACAGTAGTAAAATGTTAAACAAACTATTAAATCGAAAGAAACCATCAACAAAAAAGAAAAATAAAACGACACCAATTATTGATGGTAAATAATCACACTAACACAACACTCTTATTTTTTTCTCTGTAGAGTCGAAATATGTTACACGAGAAGAATTTGATTTGTTGTCGAAGGATCATACCGATCTGAAAAAGAGCGTCAAACGAATGATTCCAATAGTTAAACATTTTCGTGGTGGAAAAAAAGTTTGCACAGATTTTTAGTTCATTGATATCCATGTAACACGTTCTATTGCAGATTAGTTTGGATTCATCAGCCACAAATACAGGCCAAACAACAGCCTTATCAAATATTGAAGAAATCAATAAATCGATCAAAGTATGATGATCTTTATTTTAATATTTTATGTGAGCATTACTTTGTTCCATAAAGAAAAGAATTTTGGCTTTTTTACGCAGATGATACATAACTTAATTACTGAGACTTGGTTGGAAAATTTTGAAAGTCAGATATATCTCTGTTATATAATAGCAACACTTCTAAACACCTTCTTCCTTTACTCAGAGATAATATATAATTATACGTATTTAGAAAATTTTTCGTGTCGAAGCAAGTGAAGTGACAGGTCCACGTGATCGACCTACTATAGTTATTCGACATTTATTTCGATTATCAAATCATCTGGGCGATTATCTTTCATATTTGAATGAACATGCTGATCTTTTACAAGGTATATAAAATCTGAATTCAAAAGCAATTTAATATTCAGATTAAATTTCAGCATTCCTTCAATATCGTTGTCCTGGTATTATTGATATGAAAGATACCTGGCTGGAAGTTGAAGCAGCAATGAAGACGTTAGCGAATGATGTTAAGAAAAACTCTAAAACAAAGGAAGTTCGAGGAAGCTTTAAACTAACAGCTAATCTACAACAACAACCAGCAGCTTCAACAAATGATGAAATAACAGCACCACTTGACAATGTCGAGCGTGAAGAAATTATATAACTTGATTGATTTTTTCATTTGCTTAGTGATAGAGTTATAGATTGTATACTTTGATTTTGTTTGTAAACCTTCTTAATCGTGATGGAAGAACAGTTCATTTTTCCATTATGTTTATTCATTTGTCTCTTATAATCATTTTACTTTTATATGTAACCAAGAGTGGAGTTTTTGTGTTAATAAAGACGTTGAACTAGTCACATACACTTATCACATTTTCTCTTGTTCTTTCTGTACACATATTGTGAAATTTTGCTCATTTGCATAACATTCAGTTAATTTTCTTTGTAAACGACGCTTCTTTTTCTATTGGATAGATATTATTTCATCTTCAAACTATACAAAATCGTTTTTTTCTTATTAATAGTGCAGAAATTACTAAAACGACAACTGCAAACTTTCTATTTAATAATCAGTTGTATATCCTATCGATGCAAAAAAAGATAAAAACTATAATAGGGTTCAGATGAAAATAAATAACTAGTTATAAAATTTTAATTACAACTGAACTTCAGTAGAATGTAGAGCACGATTAAAAAGCTATCAGTGAGGTTCGATCGTGAACGTACCAGAATTTTTCTAGCGGGGTACCTACAAGTACTATATATAGCAATAGTCAATCAAATCTTACAACAGTATTGCTAAGTACTAATTTACTGTACATTATGTAGCAGGGTACTTGACAAGGTACTTAAGTACCTTCAAGTTCTTGAGACATTCTTGTAGCAGGGTACTTTTTCAGGTACCTATGTGTCAGTACATTCACTAGGGTGGCTACCATGAAAACAAACGATAGAATCTATTTTTATCAAACGTTTTTTTTTTTCGAAATAGTCAAAAACACATCCTTCTAAACTTAACGACTTAAATGTCTATTGAAGTAGGCGACTCTGTTGAAATTATACTTAATAGCAATCGAAAAGGATCTTTTTCTTTATAAAAATGTTTTCTTTTTTTTAAAGTAGATAGATCACATTTGTTTTTAGGTGCACTGTATATTAGATAAAAAACTAGACTTAACTTAAATCTGATATCCCTCGTAAAATGAAGTTGAATAATTAGAATTCAGACACAGAATCACATATTGCTATTTTCATTGGCTCATTTAAAGTAATCGCATAAATCGAAGTAGACAGATATTATTTTATTTGATGAAGTCTTCGCAATAAACCATGATGCGTCATTGACCTCAGATTAATCTAACAATCTACAGAAAATTATACAAAGCTGGTTTTCTTAGATGACATTGTAAAAGAATACTCTTGAATTTTACATGATACCGTTCACAATAACGAATACTTAAGAATATTTATATAAACTTATTGATTACCTCGTGCGCACTGTTACAACGTATTCTGTAACAATGTAACACATATCTTTGTATACATCGCTAATTGACATATCAGGTTTGACTATAATATAATATTTTCTTCTCCATCCTTATAACGATGTTGATGGTGTAATTAGTGACTTCTCATTACATATTTAAATATCATCATCATCATTCGACTGCAAATAACTTGGGTTTGCAGGCGACAACAATCTTACGCCATTCTTCCCTATTGACAGCAGTCTTCCGGATTTCTTCGATGGTTGGTGGTGTATCGTTGTTGATC